TAAATATATAAAAATTATAATATATAATTAAATATATAAAAAATTAAATAGTTAAATTTAAATATTGCCAAATAAAAAAATAAATATTATTTATATTATATAAATTAATTAAAAAAATTGTTTAAAAAAATATATGTGCTGTAAACATGAAACTAAAGAGTGCTTTTTTACTTTGTATGGTTTAGTCTCACATGACTTGTAAAGTGTTGTTTGTATGATTTATATAATTTTTTTGCTTTTTTATTATTACTGATTTACGGTTGAACCAATCGAACCGGTCGGTGTGGTTCGGTTTTTAAAACCATGAGTGCAAGTGATATCAAGGATTAAAAAAAAAAAAAAATAATGTGTGATTTTGCTTCTTTGGAGTGAGAATGATCAAGTTAAAGAGACAAAAAGGAAAAAAAATGTGATTGGATTGATACGTGGTTTTGATTAATCATTGATTTAAAGTAAAGATTGAACGGTCAGGGCTCAAGTGCAATAAATTTAACCAATATTATAATTGAAAATGTAGCCAATGTCCTAATACAGAGATAATGTTAAAAAAATATAAAAATAAAAAAATATAAATATTTAAAATTAAAAAAAAGGATAATGCTGACTTTTCAAATAAATTTGCTCATCTCGTTTTTATTGATGTAAAATAGTTGGATATTTGTGTTATTTGCTTGTCCTTTAATGGATTAGATTATACTATGTACCTAAGATTTGAGAGGACAAAGTTTCAAGTATTTTTATTAATAATATTAATAGAAGGGTCAACTGATTTTGTTGTTTTTCTTGTCTTGCCAATTAATTTCTTGTATTGTTGTTTTTTCTCATCTACATGTGTGTCTACACTATGCAGTCAATTGAGACAAATTCAAAAGGTTTTGAGATCTTCTCCAAAAGTTGGTTTCCCAGAAACTCTCCTGTAAAGGCTTTGATATGCTTCTGTCATGGCTATGGTGACACTTGTACATTTTTCTTTGAAGGTAAGTGACACATATGCCTGTTAAATTTACATCACATCTGCAATAAATTGGGTTTTATTGTAGAATTCATATTTTTTCCAAATTTAAACTATATGCACGGTTTTCCTTAATGATTTCATTTCATGCTTTTTCTGAATGTAAATATATGCACCGTTTTTATAGGAATTGCTAAGAAGCTTGCGGCATCTGGCTATGGAGTTTTTGCATTGGACTACCCTGGGTATGGGCTCTCTGATGGACTTCATGGTTACATACCTAGTTTTGACAGTCTTGTAGATGATGTGATTGAGCATTTTTCGAAAGTCAAAGGTATGTTGCAGCCTTACTATAAATATGAATTTATTTAACTCAAGGCAAATTTTATGCTAGCCATGCCATGCCTTTTCTGTGGACATTTTTGAGTGAACACTCACACAAAAAGTGAAGTAAGGCTTTATCTATGCACCATTAGAATAAGTTCTAATTTAGTAACTAGTTGTTGGTGAAATTTTATCATCCAATCTCAACAAATTGAGATATTTTGTGATTGAGCACGACATAGAAAATTATAAATTATCTTGAATCACATAAATATTATTTCTCTTTGGACTCAATAATAAAACTCACAATTTTATATTTTTAACAAAAAAATTTTTCTATTCAATATTTGGTTGAATATGATTTATTTTATTCTGGAGTACGGATGCCTCATAAGAGCAAGCCTTTATAACTAATTACATCTCAAATATTTATTACTTGAGAATACTTTTGATTAAACCATTGATTTCTTTATAGTCATTAGAATACTGACTAATATTTTTTCTTTTGAGTTTGAGAAATTCATATTAAAAGATTTGGTATTTAGGAATTTTAAGAAAGATGCAATTAACTTTAAATAAAATTTTAAAAAATGGAAGCCAAATGGAGAAAAATGTAGGAATACTTGATTATGAGAAACTCATAGGTATTCAAACTATCCTGTATTGAGGTTTGCATTATAAAATTAGTTTTTTTTTTATTTTATTTAAATTGATCAATTTGATTTAGAAAGTTGGGGCTTATATTACAACAATATAGGTTGAAGGAAATGTCTAAAATGTGAGGGCTATGAGGGGACTAGTACAAACTTCCACCTTGGATTGTATACTTAAGGTGAGAACTATTGAGGGATATTATCTTGAATATATGTCTAACAAAATGCAAGAGACGTACAAACCTATACCTCACCTGAGACTAAATCAGGCCGATCTCTAGAAATACAACCTTACCTGGATAGGGGCGCCAGCTAACCCTCCTAAATGCTTTTAAATTCATGGCATCCAGTTTCAATGCATATGAAGGAAAGAGAAGGCTGTCTTTATTTAGAAAATAGGGTTTACAACTTGACTTTTTGGCTAAGATACGTGACCATGAGGGTATGCAAATGCTAAATCGTTGAATGCATATTTATTTGTTATGTAATTCTTAATGTGAGGGCTTTCTACATAAGATATATTGGTTATGAATAGTTATTTTATTTTGAAAACTTGGCTCATTAGAGTGAGCCATGCAATTTTTTATTTGGAAAAATGGATATCTTATTATTGATTTTAAGTTTTTATATTTAATTGGTAGAAATCTTAATTTTGTCCTAAGATCCTTTTGAATATCACATGTTCAAACCACTCTCACTCAAAATAAGTGAAAAAACCTAAGAGAAAATGTGCATTTTTAATACGCACTCAGTAACAAACTATCACATGTACATATATGGATCAACAATAGAAAAGTAATATCTAAATTATTACAATTTTAAAATGCTGTAAAAATGACATATGAGTTGCCTACTTTAAACAAGCGAGTAATAATTACAGATTATAACTGTGGGTCTTTAAGCTTGGGCTTCTGATGCATTTAGGGCTCCAACTAGAGGGTTCATCCTTCTAGTTTATTACTCATGTAATTATATTTCTTTGGGTCAAATAACTTTTAAGACTATTAATTATATTTAAAATGCAAAAGACTCAAATATGCAAAATAGAGGGATTAAGAAGAAGTAATATATGAGCAAAAGAAACATCGTAGAATTCTCTGGCACTTAAAGTGTCAAGCCTTTTTTTATCCTATTGTCTATGCCTCTTTGCAGAAAGAAGTACAAACTAATCTATGAACACATGAGTAAAGTAAACTCATTTCATTTGATCTGGATATTAGGTATCCCTCCAAACTTATCTTGACATTGTCCTCTCCACCAACTTTCAATCTCGCCATCAAGTACAAATATCATCAATGAAACCTTTATCTTGTTTGGAAAGAATATCCCCTCTAATATCTTTTCAATATGCAATAACCAATTTTTTGCCTCTGTTGGTCCTCTACTCCTTTAAACAATGACGATCACATATCCTAAAATATCATTAAATAATTGTCCAATGACATGTTAATGTTACTACCACTTCCTAATGGATGAGATCTTGAATCCTGAAACAATTGAATCAATATTGTTATTATTTGGGTTAGTGCATTAATATTAACAACAATAGTTAGGACATGCATTTTCACTTCTTCTTCAAGATACCAAGTCCTGAAATAAAATAAAGTATCAAATAAAAATTCATAATTTTATAGAATATCAACTTTCTTAAACTCAATTACAACCTAATGGTTCTTTCAGTATGATTCATATCCTATTTGAGCTCTGATACCACTTTTGTAATGACCTGGCTCAGAGTCTCAAATTAACAATGCGGAAATAGATGATTGGACGGTTAATTCATTTCTTTCAATAATATAAAACACTTAATATACTAACAATTTAAGTATTTAATTTCCCCTCTGTTCCAAAATAATATTAATTGACATTAAATATTATTAGATCGAATTCTAAAGGAATCGTCAACTCTGTAAAAAATGTCAAATTCCTCTAATTTAACAAACTATATTTCTAATTACATTGGATATAGAATTTGCTAAAATAGATTGAAAATTTCAATCATATAACTTGTATCTTTTACTTCAAATTTGTTTCTTCCTTGCTAAATTGAAACTTCAAGCAACTTGATTTCTTCCTATTAAACATCCGTTTGTTATTATTTTAGTAGAACTAATAATTATACATTTATATTATACTTAAATTTGAATAGGAAAAATATAAAAGTAAAATGACTTACCTAGTTTTTGTTGACAAAATTAAAAACCTAAGAACTCTGGCCCAACTTCCTTCTTACGCCTCTAATCAAGATATTAATCTCTTCTTAGATTAAAATCACAGAGAAATTTATGCAAAATTAAAAATTTGACTGACAAATCTCTTTTCTCCTTCTTATTCCTCTTGGCACTGTCTTCTCGGTTCCTTTGGTTTGTTTGTTTAATTGGACAAAGCGAATCATTAAAATCGCATGTGAGGAGTCGCATTATATGCTCATGAATGCTCCCGAACCCGTGCTTGTCCAAATTGCAGTTGTCCACTCGCCCTATTGCTTGATCGGCCGCTCGCTCGCAATCCATTTGCTCGCCTGCTCTTTGGTTAGGCTTGGTTCAGCTAAACCGATCCAACTGGTTATACAGGCACCCTTATAGTTATGATTTCAACTACTGTTGAATTGCTCGTCTTTTGTTCCTGATTTATTTTTTGGGTATAAACTTATTATCACAAGCTGTTTTCATCATATCCATGTAAAAGTCACTCAATTTTATAGATAAAGAATTTTAGAAGTTGACATTTCCTTTTTTCTTCTCTTGTTTGCAAGTATTTCTTGAGGTGACCCAGTATAGAGATTGTTCATATATTCATGGTTTAGCTGAGATTGGTTAGAAATATTCAGTTGAAAAAGTCACTCAATTTTGTAGATAAAGAATTTTAAGTTGACATTTCCTTTTTTTTTTCCTCTTGTTTGCAAGTATTTCTTGAGGTGACCCAGTATAGAGATTGTTCATATATTCATGGCTGAGCTGAGATTGGTTGGAAAATATTCAGCTGAACTTTTGATTTTCTTCATGCTTTTATTGGACTTTCCCTTGAAGTTGATTACTTAATATTGTTCTCTAAGAGAGCATACTATGTGGATGAGTTCCTAACTTGAATTCTTAAATTGATATTGTACTTTGATTATTTTGGGGAGCTTTTTATTTATCATGACCCGACCTAAAAGATTGGATTACTAGGAAATAATAGATGATTGAATGGAAATTTAAATACCTTCTTCCTATATAATAACTTTTGAAATATTCTATCATAATTTTCTACTAACACATCTTCCAATACATTAAAAGAGTCACTAATCCATAAAATTTAATTATTTCAAAAGAACGACAACATATAATATAGTTGTATGAACATTAAATATAAGTACCATTCATTTGTTACACAAATTTTGTTCATTTCTTCATCATTTAATCAATATCATACATTCATCTAAATATTTATTAAGTAAGAAGTATGAAGTTTAAATATTATATCATAATTCTAAATTACAGTAGCTTAAATGAATAAAGAAGTAACTGTAGGCTAGTTATCATGCACAAAATCATATAGAATTTGAATTTTATTCAATGGTGAGCATGAAAAAGAAACACAGCATTCCATTAAACATGAATAGCTTGAGCAAGTAAAAGTGCTCATCTAATCATATCATATTTAATCTTATTTTATAATACGAGCACCATCTATTTGTACCATTTATGATACTTGAATGTTAATATGCTTTTCCAACTCTATCCTAACACCGAAGTGAGGCTAAGGCATGTAAACCTGTATGTTTTCATCTAATACTATGAGGGGATGATCTCCATTATTCAACATGAACATTAAAATATTTCTATATATAATTTCATTTACTGTAACCTTCGCATGCAACATTTCGTTATATGATTGTTGTATTTTACAATATTAATGATTAAAACATAACCTACAAATGTATATTTCATTTATATCAATATGAATGATCATTTTGTATTGGGATAAATCATTATAAATCATATGCAACTTGAGCAAGTAAATGTATATTTTATAATAGATGGTTGAACGATAATTTAAATACCTTATGCCTATATAATAATTTTTGAAATATTGTATGATTAATTTTCTACTAACACATCTTCCAATACGTTAAAAGAGTCACTAATCCATAAAGTATAATTATTTCAAAAGAACAACAACATATAATATAGTTGTAAGAACATTAGCAAATATAAGAACTTGTCATTTGCTACACAAATGCTATTTGTTCATCATTTAATCAATGTGATATATTCCTCTAAATATTTATTAAGTAAGAAATATGAGTTTTAAATATTATATTATAATTCTAAATTACAATAGCTTAAATGAATAAAGAAGAAACTGTAGGCTAGTTATCATGCACAAAATCACATAACATCTGAATTTTATTCGAAGGTGAGCATGAAAAGAAACAGAACATTCCATTAAACATGAATAGCTTGAGCAAGCAAAAGTGCTCATCTAATCATATCATATTTAATCTTATTTTATAATACTTCTATCATAAGAGCACCGTCTTTTTGTACCATTTAAGATACTTCAATGTTAATATTCTTTTCCAACTGTATCCTAACACCGAGTGAGGTAAGGCATGCAAACCTCTATGTTTTTATCTAATACTATGAGGGGATGATCTCCATTATTCAATATGAACATTTAAATATTTCTATATATAATTTCATTTAATGATTGAAACATTCGCATGCAACATTTATTTATATGATCATTATATTTTACAATATTAATGGTTGAAACATAACCTAGAAATGTACATTTCATTTATGTCAATAAGAATGATCATTTTGTATTGGGATAAATCATTATAAATTATATGATATTATGATTTTATAATTATTAATCATGTTATGTATGTAAACAAACAAGAATCATAACTATATTAAATAATGTGACATGTCTAAAAAAATGATGCGGACATTAGCACGAAGATCTGGCGCATCTATCATAGGAGGCGTCTAAATCGACGGCTCTAATTTAAGTTGTCATTTATGAATTATTTTCTGCATTTTAGTTTCTATTTTACCCCTAGGTTAATTTATTTGAGTGTTGTGGCCCAAGGGGCATTTTTGTAATTTTCTATTTTTTCATGTTATGACCTATAAATAAGGGCCTTAGAAAACATTACTCTAATTTAGAAATGAGATCGCCTACCTTAACTTTAGAAGGTTGGAGTTTCCTTTTTAATCATTAATTGTTTCCTTCTTTAACGTAATGCCTATCACAAAATATTTTGTTATATATAAAATATGATGAACGAAAACTCATGACTCATTGATCGAAATTGGATGGTTCATCTTTCTTTTTCACTTATAAGATAATGGGTTGTACTCTTCTCCCTTGTCCATCTCCCTTGTCCAAATCATCTAGCTTTCCATGAAGCTCAATGATCTTTGCATCTTAAATTAATTTTGGGAGTTGGTCCCTTTAATTTCTCTTCACATGTGAGTTAATATCATGCTTCATATGTTTGACTGAGAACATTAATCATTATGTGATGGTTTGTAGTTTGCTTGATCGTTCTACTTGTCAGAGAAAAAATTGATGAACAGGGAGGCAATCATTGGGTGCAGTGATTGACAAACATTTGATGTTGGTGTTGGCTGATGATGAGCATGGATATTGTTTGACGATGAGCATTGGTATTAGACAAAAATGGCCATCGTTGTTGGGTCAGGGTGGGCATCGATGTTGGGTGGGGGAGGACGACATCGATGTTGGGCAAGGTGAAGTGTTGACATTGGTTGCTTGCTAGCATTGGGTTTGTTCGATAATTGATGTTAGCATTGGGCGATGATAGGCATTAGCATTGGTTGACTACAAGTGTCACGATTGGCTGATGAGTATCATTTGCTGATAGTTAGAGCTCTGGAGTTCTCCTAGTGAAAGAATTTTTTTTGTTGAAATCCACTTTGGAACCCTTCCGCACTTTTGAATATGTAGAAAAATAGCCCGATAGTATATTTATAGAATTTTGAGGGGTGTTCTGATCATTTATGAAAAAAATTAGAACTCCTTCAAACAATCAGAGTTTATCCATCTTGATTATTTTATCTTTTATATTAAGCCTTTTATCATATTAGTGAACTCAAAATTTAATGATCTTGAACTTATCAGATTCTTCTTGTAAATATGCTCTTTTTAGCAAAAAACACATGACAACCGGATGTTGATTGTCTACTCAAATGATCTTTTGATGTTTGAAATTATACTTTTGAGTGTTTGCTTTTAACCTATTTGAACTTGGATCGAGGGTTTCTTTTTTTTTTTTTCATCTGGCTTCTCTTATTGATAGGATTTTTTGTGACTATAAGTTTACTAAAAACAAGGCTCGGATGGTCTCATAGTATATTCCAAAAGTTATAGTTCAAAGATCTAGGTGTTTTGAGATTTGGAAATTTTGTGGAGATTCATGCTTTATCAAATGAATTTCTTATTGACATATCAATACTCATAAAGTTGCATTGCATACTTTAATTTGGATAGAAAAAGACATATTTCATGTATGCATGTCTATTTTTATTTTTTTTATGATGAGCTAATTTTAATACTACCGTTGTCAGGTCCCAAGTCCTGAATGAGAAAAGTGGAGGGTTGCGTTAGGTAGTCGACAGCCAGCGTAAAACTTGTCGAATAATAATGACATAAATCTTTTATGAAATTTTGTTAATGTTAGGACGTTCCCTGGAAGCGACGCGCTGCATGGCCTGAATGCAGTGACAAGTGTGCAAGGGTCGTTGTACCGGCGCCCTGGTGCAGTGTTAAATAGGCAAGGGTTCCCATATCAAGGGCGGATGTGGGCAAAGAAGCTAGTTCATAAAACTAAAATTAGGATAGGAACTTGGAATATAGGTTCCCTTACTGGAAAATTAATAGAATTAATAGATATTATGACTCATAGGAAGATAAATATTTTGTCCATTCAGGAAACTAAATGGGTTGGAGAGAAGGCTAAGAAAATTGATAGTTTATGATTTAAACTTTGGTATTCGGGTATGAGTCGTATTAGAAATGGTGTAAGTGTTATTATAGATAAGAGTTTGAAGGATTATAGCTTGAAGGATTGTTATTGATGATAAGATTGTTAATATTATAAGTGCTTATGTCCCTCAAGTAGGTTTGTATATGAGTTCTAAATTAAATTTTTGGAATGACTTAGAAGAATTATTACAAAAGATACCTCTAGAAGAAACAATTTTTATTGGAGGAGGTTTAAATGGACATGTTGGTAGAGATGTAGATGATTTTAAAAGCATTCATGGTGGCTATGTTTTTGGAACAACAAATGAAGGTGGCAAGACCATTTTAGATTTTTGTTTAGCTTATGATTTTTCAATTGCTATACTTTATTTAAGAAAATAAATGAGCATCTCATCACTTATAAAAATTGATATAATACAACCCAGATTGACTATTTTCTTATAAGAAAATTAGATCGGTCAAATTACAAAGATTGTAAAGTTATTCCGAGTGAAAATTTATGTACCCAACATCGATTATTAGTTTTGGACTTTAAGATAAAGGGACAGATAATAAAAAAGAAAGTAAAACAATATTTCAGGATTAAATGAGGACATTTAAAGAATATTAACAAAAATATTTTTGAGAGTAAGATTTTAGATCTTAAGATTTTATCTGTGCATGAGGATGCAAATATTATGTGGGATAAAGTGGCTAATGATATTAAGAATATTGCAAAAGATATGCTTGAAGTATCAAATGAAAAAGCTCCTAATAGTTAAAATAGTTGGTGGTGGAATCCAAATGTGCAATAAAAGATTAAGAATAAAAAGATTTGTTATAAAAATTGGTTTAATTTTAAAAATTCTGATAATTGGAAAGCTATAAAGAGGCTCGTAAGGAATCTAAGAAAGCAATATGCGATGCAAAAACCTTAACTTTTAGTGATTTATATAATAGATTATATACTAAGGAGAAAAAAAGATATATATATATATATATATATAAATTAGCCAAACAAAGATATAGGAATAATAAAGATTTAGTTCAAGTGAAGTGTATTAAGGATGAAGATAAAAAAAATATTTTTCTTAGAAGATGATATTCAACAAAGGTGGATGAGATATTTTGCTAAACTTTTTAATGAAGATTGTGAAAATAAGATTGACTATAGTGACCTTAGCACCCTAAATGAAAATAAAGATTTCTGTTTTTATCGGCGTATTAGTAAAACTGAAGTTAGAGAGGCTTTAAAGAAAATGAAGGGTGGAAAAGCTGTTGGAACTGATGATATTCCAATAGAGGTGTGGAAATACTTAGGAGATGCCATTAAAAGAGAAGCATAATTCTTTGTTAAGTGTGACAGAGATGAGGATGCTCAGGTGAATGAGTGGCTTTACCCGTAGAGATAGGATACGAAATGAGCATATACGTGAAAAGGTTGGAGTAGCTCCAGTAGAAGATAAGATTAGAGATAGTCTCCTTAGATGGTTTGGTCACATAAAACGGCGGCCTTCCAATGACCCGGTTAGGAGAGTAGAGGTGTTAGATTTGACTTATGTTAAGAAAGGTAGAGGCAGACCTAAAAAGACCTGGTTAGAAAATATTAGGAATGACCTTTCTTTATTAGATTTAAATGAGAATTTGATCTTTAATAAGACACAATGGAGAAAAAAGATTCATGTAGCCGACCCCACATATTGGGATAAAGGCTTGATGTTGTTGTATGATGAGCTTATTTGAATCTCAGTTTATATTTGACATCAAACACCCATGGATGCTTTTGAACACACATGCGCTTGTGTCCTTGCATATACATGTCAACACAAACACACAAAGATAATACGGAGACATGCACAACCAAAATGTACACACATGCATACCTATGAACACACAGAGACATGCTATGAGTATTTTCATTAGTGTTTCTTATGGTAGCATATTCTTACATAAATACTGATATCCCTTGGCTATGTGATTTCTTTGTTCTTAAAATGTCAGAAAATCCCAAATACCAGAGTCTTCCGAGTTTTCTGTTTGGGCAATCTATGGGTGGAGCAGTTGCTCTCAAGGTGCATTTTAAACAACCCCATGCATGGGATGGTGCCGTTCTAGTAGCACCTATGTGTAAGGTAATTTCGCTTCGAGTAACATAGAACATGCTAATCTAAATGTTACCTCTTAATGATAAATACTTCTCTATAGATGGGAGAAGATGTTCTACCTCCTTGGCCTTTACTGCAGCTGCTTACGTGTATTTCAATACTTTTTCCAAAAATGAAGTTGGTTCCACCAAAAGATATAGCAGAGATGGGTTTTAAAGAGCTGAAGAAACGAGAGCAGGTTGGTTTCTTTCTCTTCTATCTTTTGTTTGAGTATGGCAATTTTTTTTGTCTATGGTTATTCCCTAGTCAGTTTAACATCTAGAGTTTCAGGTGAGTTTTTCTAGTGAATTCCACATTAGGCTCACTATACCTGGCTTATTTGCATGCCAACCGATCCAAAATTTGCCTTGATTATTGTGTTGAATAAATTTTTCTCTAATTTGTCATTTTGCCATTGGATCTTCAAGTAGTTCTGACATGCAATTAAAGTATGCTGGAATTATAGATGGAGCAGAAGCTGGACCAGACCCTTATCATCTTATTCCAAGCCTAGCCTAGCCATTTTATGAGCAGACCTTTTTTAAGGCCCTGGTTGAGTTTATCTGGCTAAATATTGATTCCTAACCCACAAAAATATTTTTTGAGCTGCCTCCACCCCATTGAATGGACTTTTGTATTTCAGTTGTAGATATACCCTATAGAATATGTATGAAAATGCTTTTATTTTCTTGTCTTGCAGGCTTCTTATAACGTTATTGCATATAAGGACAAGCCACGGCTGAAGACGGCTTGTGAGTTGCTCAAAACCACTCAAGAAATTGAATGCCAGCTAGCAGAGGTAAAAAACAAACGTTGAACTTGTTTTGATTCTTCAAATTGATAAAATAGTGAATATCAATAATCACCTATAGAAAAGCTTTCTTTCTGCAGTTCTACTTCTATTGAACTAGGTCTGCAACTAGTGTTTGTTTAGCTCTGGTTGCTAAATACGGTACCTTAGAGTTCTATATAATTTTGAATGTTGAGGGTGGAAATTACCTGATTGTCTTGTCTTATCGGAGACACGCTTGATTAGATAATGATTTTACAGTCCTGACATATGGCCTTCATTATTTTTGGATGCTCGATATATGTCCTCCATTCTTTTGATTTGAGCGTGTTAGTGGTTAAAAAAATGTTGCAACATGAGGGAACTTCAAGGCCATGCCCATTTCCTAGATGAGAGAAATTCAAGCATTTCCTTAGGGCCATGGATGAAATTATGTCTCCATGGTTGTATCCTTTCTTGTATGGAAGAAATAAGCTTTATATGCAAAATTTTTGGTTAAAATTTTTCGAAGGATGTCACGAGGTGGATTATATGGTTGATATGTGTGCCTTTTGGGAGAGGCAGAATCCATCCAAGCTAATTCTTGGGGAACTTGATGGGATTGAAACTTTCTCACTAAGTATATCTTCTATATTTTAAGATGCTTATGCAAACTTCAAATATCTCTTGAACTTTTGTAGTTGATAAATACCTTTGGTTGTGTTGAGTAGGCAAGGTATTGGCCACTAGATCTCTTTCTGTCATTTAGAGTTCTTTACTCTGTACGAACCTATTATTGCATCATATGCTCTCTTGGGGTCTCACTCAATGGTGGCTTCTCTTGAGTATCTGAAATCGCAAGGCCCCTGCTAGCACTAGATGCCCCCTTTGGAGATTACTTATTGGTAAACCCGTTGAGGACTTAACTATGTAGAGATCTTGTTTTTAACACATGCCCTTCGATGACTTACTTATTTTAATGTGTATGTGACCAACACTAGATGTCCTCTACCGGTCACTTATTGATAATCTCTCATAGGAATTTTGAATAGGCTGAAACATTATTCATACACCTTCCTTTTGAAGTCTCACTCATTGATGAGCTCTCATAATGACTTTTTATGTGCTTCTTGTTCAAAGCAAAGTTTTCCTTCTAGGGCCCACTTACTGTGGAGTGCTCCCAGGGACTTATAATACACAAAAGCTTTGTCTACACACCTCCCATACTATTGCTTACTCATGGGAGCCACTCTTTAGGACATTTAATCAGGATCTTGCTCGATAGTAGTTGCTTTTCAATGGGATCACTTGCCTTAGGTCACATGCGAAGGGGGTGATCGACCTGATTAAGCTTAAGCCATTTTGGCTTGCATGTAGACCAGTCGATTCAAACAATTCTACATTTTTTGGCCTTAATCCAATTGATTTGTTGTCCACATACGAAGAGTGATGCATCAAGTCATCTATAGGAGCTGGCATATTGTTATGAGCTTGTTTGGTCATTGACTTAGTCAATCTAAATAAACTTTTGCACTAGTTCTTTTTTTTTTCAAATTCTTTTGAGATGTATGTGTTTCAAGCCAAGTATTATGTTTTCTTAGACAGGAATTTTTGTCATCGCAACACATGGTATCATTTTTCTTGATCAAATTGTCAATATTATAATTAGATGCAATTTTGGCGATAATTTGAGTTTTGCTAGGTATTTCTGATATAAAACTCACTTAATGCATATTCTTGGTGCTTGAACGTTCTTTATTTATGGTAATGGGATTAAATATAGGCATGCAATCGTATGCGATGAATGCTAAATAGACATCTGAGGTCAAATGTACTCAAGCTAATAAAAATATAAGAAGAGTGAAAGAATGTTTGAAACAAAACTGTAGACATTAATGTAAATTTTGTCAATTTTGAAGTCTAAAGGTGAAGTTAATGAAATCGGCCATAAAATAGTTCGGGTGGTGAAAAACACAAAATCATGTTGACTAAACTCAAAAGTTTTGAACGAAATTATATGAAAACAATTTTGATCAAAATCTATTCTTGATGTGTTAAATTAGACTTTAAAACGAAACATTTTTCATGAAAGTGAAATTATTATAGACCCAATATTTATAAGATTTGAAAACGGACGGTCTTTTGAATAATTCTTATATATGTGCATTATAGAAGTGTAATGCACGAATTTGATAAATAAGTTATTCCCACAAAAGGTGCATACTCTTAACCTTTACCTTTCTGGTGACAAGACATCAGTTTTTTAATTTTGTTGGTTTTGAATTGGCTCTGTTGAAAACAGTTTGAGACCGTTAAATCATTTTGGTTTGACAGGGTTTCAACAGTTTCGATGAAGTTTCTAAAAAACGTCAAGTAGTTTCATTTGAAGCCTCATAAACTTACAAAGCCATTTAGCATTGATCAAATATTTTCTAGAATTTATCATCAAGGGCCCACCAACTTTAATGTTTGTTATAATTCAAGCACCAATTAGATACTTACAAATTACTTCTGAAATATTTAATTTTGAAAAACTATCCGAAATTAATGATATTGAATTTATAAGCTGACGAAATTGTCAAAATACAAGAACTACCGAAACTGGAGCATTCAGGATGAGACCTAAACCCAGTTTTAAAATATAGCTCTTCCTATCCTCTTTTGTATTCTAACTTTAGCTATCCATTTTTGGTGCTCTATGAGGAGCTGGTTTGAAAAAAGATTATAGTTATCTATATCTGAGATTTCTTCTTGTATGAATTAAAACAAGTGACATGAGACATACTGAGGAAAAAGAATACTCTGCTTTAGGGAAGGACATTAAGGGGTAGTGACATCGTAGCAATGAGTTTTCATAAGATTTGCTTGAAGTGAAAAATACACCTACTACCTAAAAATTGAATGTAATTGATTTTCCTGCCATTTGTGTTTTTCAGCCTATTATTCAAATGCTCCATTCACGTATATAAAACTTTACCCATGTCTACGGATGCCTGCCTTTTTTCTACTCGTCTTTTTATGCATAGGATTATATATATATATATATATAGAGAGAGAGAGAGAGAGAATCAAATGGTCAATTGACTCTTTATGAAAGACTAAAATAATCCCCTATTAAGGGATGATCTCTCAACTCTTCTTAAACAGGATCAAAATAGTTTCATCATGAGACTATTTGATTCATTGTTAAAGACTCAAGGGATAACAATGTTAAAGAACCATTTTGATCCTTAATAAAAAACCAAGGGACATTTTGGTCTTTTTCTCTTTCTCTCTCTTTATATATAATTTCGTAAATCACCAGGTAGATTCATTTGCTTAGTTTCTTCAATAAATATGCCTCTCCTGTTATCATCTACCCTGAAATGAGATACCCTTTAAATTCTTATTCAAGTTCCATCTATGATGCACCGACACTTCTCCTCAAAGAGGCATGCAGTGTCCGACACGACACGCATTTGACACTCCTCCGACACGTGTTGGACACGTTGAAAATGTGTCCGATTAAAAAAATAATATTAAATACAAATTGGACACGCATGTGTAACATGCGTATCTTAAATATTTTATAATTTTAAATATAATTTATTGTATTTAAATTTATACTTATTTAAAATATAAAAACTAAATTTCTTATTTCTTATTCATAATGCCAAATTAATCGGCCACATTTAATACCCCATTCATTGAATATTCTCATTTTCATTTTTTTTTTGGCGGGTTATAACTTTGATTTCACAATAATGTCTAATGTCATCTCAACATCGATGTCTGACGTCGTTACAACATCAATATTTCAAAACAATCTTCATATCAAAGTCTTACGTCGTCTTTACATTGATGCTTGATGTTAGCAATTTCTACACCCACAACTTGACATCTCATCTTGGTCCGACGTCTTCTCAACAACGACAACCAACGCCCTCTCAACATCGATGATAAATGCCCTCTTAACATTGACGTCCAATATTTACTGGATAACATCAATGCCCAACTCTCGACAGCATTGACATCTTCTCTCTCGATGAATGATAGACATCCTAATATTAACATCTTGAAAGTTCATCTCGTGTCCATGTTTGTGCATCATAGAGTTCCATTATTTTGAAAGTTCACTTTATTTTGCAAATGAATAGTGGGGGCTCACTGTTGAGACTCTCTCATGCACAGGGAGATGCCCTTATATTTGCCTAGACATTCATCCAATGCATGCCAGTAAGAAGCAAATTCACCAGCATTAGGTCCCTCCCTTCTCTATCTGCAAAGTCTCCTTAGTAGAACATGGGACCTTTTTTGAGTTATTGAAAACATAGACCTGATACCCTGCCTTATAAAAACAAAAGAACCTATGTGCAATTTATTCTTTATAGTTCTATCTATTGCGAGTGTTCTTTGTTAAAGCCCATCATGATCTGATTGATCTTTCAGGTATCCCTTCCTTTGCTAATTCTACATGGTGAGGCGGATGTATTAACTGATTGCTCGGTGAGCGAAGCTTTATACGAGAAAGCAAGCAGCTCAGACAAGGAGATTCTAATCTACAAAGATGCGTACCATTCTCTTCTTGAAGGCGAACCTGATGAAACCATAAATCTGGTACTCGATAATATCGTATCTTGGCTCGAGAAACGCTGTGCAAAGACAGAATAGCGCAGATTAGTTTAATTTGTTTCTGAGATCCACAATGTCTGGCTTCTACTTGTGAATATGTATGGAAAAAACGGTCAACATGTTATTCCTTCCCACGATCTTCTTCATGTTTTATATTTGTTGCTATTTAGGGTTTGTGCTTCGTCTGCTGCTTTCTGTATTCTCATCCAAGATGAGTAGTGCGAATGTTAGGGGTGGATGCACGTTTTAGATTGCATGTTTGATATATATTTTTTATTATGAGTAGGTTTTTTTTTTTTTTTTTTTTAAGTGACATACAAGTAAGAAAGATGAAGGAAAAAATGACGCGAGAATCTGTGAGACACTTTGATCATTTTATAGCCACTTTAATGATAGAAATATATGAACTGCTCTTTTTTTTGTAAGCTTTACTTAAAATAAAATTTATTTTCTCCTTTGCCAAATAGATTTTTAGAATACATATGCACGCACTTTGAAGAAAAAACTATAACCCCTAGGGATGCAAATGAACCGAGCCGAGCCGAGCCGAGTATGTGTGTTCATGTTTGAGATCAATTATTATCAGCTCGTTCAAGTTTGGTTCGTGCTTGATTCGAGTTTTATTGTTTGTGTTTATGTTTGGTTCATGTTCGGTTCGTTTAGTAGTTATTGAGCTTTAAACAAATAAGCCTTAATGAACTATAAACATGCTCTACTTCTAAATATTTATTAATTTAACAAATGAGCTTTATCGAGCCTCCTAACAAACAATTATCTTGAGCATGTTCGTGAACATATTTAATGAATTTTTTTAACTATAGGAAAATGGCGAGGGAAAAATGATGAAGGGTTCGTCGTTTGCCGCATTGCTTTTGTCTTTCCTATTTAGTAAAATTTAATAAATATGTAAATTTAATTTTAGTTAGCATATGTTATAATATTTAATCACTTTAAATTTTAATATTTAACAATAATTATATCACTATATTATAATAAATATAAAGTATTTATATTATGTATATTTTTTATTTATATTATCAGATATTAATTGAGTTTTTATCGAACTTATTCACGAGTTTTGAATATAACTCGAATCAAGCTTAATGTCGAGTTTGTTTAAGAGCTTTAAATGATATTGTTCACGAACATAATTGAGCTGAACACATTAGTGTTCAAGCTTATTTATTTAAGGATTGAGCATTTAAAATATTGTTCAAATGTGCTTGTTTAGTTAATTAATCAATCACAAACAAGCTTTAATTGAATCAAGCAACGATCGTCGAACATTTGGTTTGCTTGCAGCCCTAATAACCCCCAATTTTTGGCCTGTATATATCTCACACGTGCATAAACTCTGTAGCTTCCTGCACAGCAAACGAAATCGATCATAGAGGGAATTTTCTCTATTTGCTCGCCTACAACTCCTGCAGCCGTTCCACCTTAACACCCCCATCGTGAACGGCCTAAATGGTTGGAGTTGCCCCTCTCCACGCTCATATTTATCTCTCCCCTCTTCTATTTCAAGGCATTCCAAACTCCCGTCCCTACCCACCTCTCTCTCCCTCTCTCTTTCTCCCCCATCCCTTCGTTTTCATCTTCTCATCTCCTCTCCTCTACTTCTACCAATTTTGCCTCCACAATGAATCCATCTCCGGAGATCAATGGCTTCGTCCGAACTTCACCAATTATGAAGCTCAATAAAGTCTCCACCACCACCATCACCTCCACCTCATCCACCTCCGTTTCTTCTGTCTCATATCGTCCGCCGGTCATAATCTACACACAATCCCCCAAAATCATCCACACACGGGCTTGTGATTTTATGGCCCTTGTCCAAAAGCTCACCGGCTTCTCCCGCTCTTCCAATGATGACATTAACGACAATCCAACCACATCTTCTTCTAACAATGATGATAGCATCCATCTGAACAAGAAAAGAAAGATCTCTGTTGAAAAGAAAAAGGAAGAATTAAGCGAACCATCATTGGATGACACACTGCAATTGACGCCGGAGCAACGACCCTCCGTTACGCCGGCGACAACCAACTTTGAGCTCAATCCGCCGCTGTCAGATGTACCGTTGTTCATGCAAGGGTTTACGACAGAGTTCTTCGACTTGCCCAATGCATTATACAAATACACCGAGCTGCCTGGAAGCTCTCCTTTGCCTAATATCAATGGTGCAACGCCAACATTCTCTGAGATATGATCCATCTTCTTAACTTTTTTCTTTCATTTTTTTTTTCTTTTTGGTGCTGATCGAGGGAAATAAGGATTTGTTAGAATTGATGGTAGTTTCAGAATAATAATGAATTGCTAATTTTTTTTTTGTTCTTGTTGTTGAATTCAATTCCTCGGTAAGATAAGTTTGAATCTTGCTGTCCTATATGCAAATCCAAAGAACACTAGGTATTCTTGCAAGAATGACGAAAATAAAAAGAATATTACATTACTAATTGAGAATAACCAGCTTATTTATTGCTTCATGTTCAGATCATCTCCAACCGAACAATATTATCTGATTTGCAGTAGACACTGGCAAATCGAACCGGCCTATTAATTTTAATATTTTGAATAGTGCGACTTCAATATTGAGATCACAATACTCACAATGCAGAGAAAAATACAAAATATGCACTACCAAAAAAGTGGGATTTTCGCAGCACTTGATAGCAGTGGTTTTAAAACTGCTTATATGTATATCTTTTCCCTGCAGTTTTAACCGCCACATGTAGTTGTGGGTTAAGTCGGTGCTATAGATTAATATAAACATCGGTTTTAACCACTGCTATAAACAAAGATATTTGTCATCCCCGTGCCCTAACCTCACCATTCGACTTTTTTGCTGCGTCCTCACCATTCGCTCGTCTACGTCGAATCCACCAACCCCAGATTCGCCGCCACCGAATCCCTGGTTGCTCTCCGTCGAATCAGCCGTTATCAACCCATTCTCATGCATGCTCTTCGTTGAATCTCCTATCTTGACCCTTCGCGTGGTTGAATCTTCGTCGATTGCCCATCCACGACCAAATCTGTTTTTACTAACGGCGATTCCATCACCGTAGCTGTCACCAAAGAATTCCCGGTAGCGATTCAGTTGCTCGGGTCCGTAGGTATTTTCTTCAAATTTTAATCAATGCATTTTTATCATTTGTCCTAATAGAGTCATTTTTATTTTTTCCCATCCTAGCTTCAACCAAGTCATTTACATACATATGATCCATATAATTTCTCACAACTGCTTGCCAAATTGGTTAGACATGCATATTGGTTGTGCACAGCTTTTACCACCTATATTTTATATAAAGTTAGTAGTTGGTCTTTTTGTTGGTCTAGCAATGAGAGGGATGGAGTTTAATGAGTGAAGAAAAAGTTTAGGTTTTAATTTGGCAAGCACTTGTGAGAATGAGTAACTTTGGTTTTAATTGTTGGCCCCGCTGAAAAACACTACAATACTAAAAATTTGTTTAGGTTTTAATTTTTATGGCGGTTCTAACCGACGCAAATATGTAACTTAATTAGCAACGGTTATAACCGCTGTTAAAACTAGCACATCCTTTATTCTATCACACCGATCCTAAAACCTCTGCGGAATGTCATTGCAGCGCATTGCAATCACAACAGAAATGTAGTGGTTTTAGCTAGAACCGCTGCAAAAGTAAAATGTGTCGGTTATAACTGTTGGAAAAAGTAAAAAATGTGCTGCGATAACTCTATTTTTTGATAGTGATGTTTTTTTTTTATGTTCTGATGGAGACTCGCCGCAACTCCATAGGCGAATGACATTCAGTTCGATTTGAAATGCCCTCAGACGAGAATGCTAGTTTTGAATTGATGTGATCAAATCTTACTTGATTGTTGCTTTTAACCTAGAATTGCATGTGAAGGAATTTGTGGCCTGTTTGTAAGATAATATGATGTTTTGTATATTAATTCCAGCTTATAGGTTCGAGTTTTGAGCCACACCTTTTAAGATTTATTGCACAAAATTTAAAAAAAAAAACAATTAATAAAAAGGATGGAATGGCATTGAAGTATTGATTAGCATTCTCAATCTAATTGTTTTCTTAATTGGATTGTGTAAAATGAGCTCAAATATCCTTTTATTTTGGAATTTATAACAAAAATCTCTTCAAAAATAAGAGGCCGTGTCTGAAGAGAACAAAAGTGAGGAAAACTAGTGATTATGGTGAGTTAGTAGAACACTCTAATATCTCTATTATAACTTGTCCTCATAGCATGAATTCTAAAATATGCCTCTTCTCCTCTTATATATAGGGCTAAATGGGCTACTGCTATAATAATAATAATAAAAAAGTAGCACATAATGTTACTAAATAAATTCACACCGACATATGGACCAACTGGATGATATAAATATGAACCCCTATATCTGGTGTGGTTCCCTCCCCTCAACCAAGTACCTGGGGTGAGTTTTCAGGAGTGTGTACTTTAGGTGAGTCTTCTAAACCTAATATAAAGGCTAAGTTTGTGAAGGAAACTCCTGAGGAATGAGAGGCGAGACCCTCTAGTGGAAGTGGCTTGACCATGGATGAGTTTAGTCAGTGACATTGTGTATATCGGGTTTATTATCACAATCTCACTCAGAGCTTCGAATTAATGAGCTGGGAATTGATGGTCGAACGGTTATTATTATTATTTTTTACTAATTTTTCTAAAAGTAACTATCTCCAATACACTAAAGGACACTATCACTACATTTCAATGTATTTTAAAGCAAAACATTATAACTGCTTTAAACAAATATCTCTCTCTCGATATGTCATGCCTATGATACACGTACTCTGCTCTTTCACTCATTTAAACTATTTGGATAATACCATTGCACTTTTGTAAATATGGAGTGAGTTACAATACAACTCAATTTGTATGTCTTCTTTTAAATTACAATAATACAAGACATTTTGAATGATATGCATGCTCATCACAAAACACAATGTAAACCTATCTAAAATTAATTTATTTTGAAAATGATCATCAATGTTTTGTATATCTATGCATGACACACACATCATATATTTATCATTCTTGTAAATGATACAAAAGTCATAAGAGATTTTGTCTAAAATAATACCAAAAATATATACTTTCTTATCCATTTTCTTTTTTATAACCTTTTTCATTTCACTCGCATGGGTATAATACTTCCTAGCTAGTATCATAAGGGAGTGTACTATATCAATCGATTATGCACATGAGAGCATTTATTCTAAATAACTTTATTGGCATGATCTCTATCATTTCATATTGTTTCATAATGAATAATACATGACTTGTGCTAAATTATATAAGTTTATGTCATCAAGCTTAATATGATCAATTGCATTTAATAGAGATAATACATAAGCAATTTACAATAATGATGAGAAATTAAATGCATTACGAAGAAGCAAGATTATTATTTCTATATAATTTTTTCATATCATGCAAGATGAATTATCATGTTGAATACCAAACTTCAATATGACCATTCATTGAAAAAAAAAAGAGATAAATAATGTTGAATTTGTTTTGCAATAATAATTAGTTTAGAAGTGTCAATGCAATCAGATTGGAGATAGCAATATTATTACTTTAAGAATAGGATCATGAGCACTCACTTTAAATATCTTTTTCCCCTTTTTGATCATTACTTTGACACCGCTATTTAAGAACCTATAATTATATATAATTTTTTAAAATTTCATTCACTTCTTCATTTTATTTTCATTTAAGAGTATACTTAATGATTTAAATTTTGTTTTTTACTATTTAAAGCAAACAACCATTTTTGTGCTCTTAGAAGTAGATTAATTAGCTTTCTTCTTAGGTGGGACACAAGAAATTGAAAGGCCATATCTAGTAGTAGACCTTTGGATTTAAAACGGGAAAGTAACATATTTGGATGTTTGACCTTTGGTTTTAAATTCATATGATGATTTCTTATAATTTTCAAGAAGTGAGGCATTAAGCAACATCCTTAATTACAGCCATGGTGATCTTAAATATCTATCTCATTTTTTATGTCATTTGTAAGTCCAACTATAACTTATTAGCTAGTTTCCCATTTTGATTTAATGAATTTGTAATAGCTACTAGATCCTTAAATGTGTTTATGTAGCTTACTACCTACATATTCCATTGGAAAAAGGACACCAACTACTCATGCAATTTCTTTCATGGCTCCTATAACTACTTAGCCCTCATCATTTCTTTCATCTCTACCTTAAAGAAGTATCTACATAGTCTTAACTCTTTTATTAAGGTGCTATTTCAAAAGATTTTAGCATGGCCTATTAATTTTATATAATCAAAAGTTGCTCTTTGATTATCATCCTTTTGACACCAATAAAAAATTTACCCATTTGAGTGAGAGAGTCTAGAAACCTATTAGGGTCATGCACACCATCATAGGTTGGGCCTTCTACCTTAACCTTTTATGTGGTTTTTATACATGGCCTTGAAACCTATGATTCCAAATTTTCTTATCGTTCCTAAGGGATTCTCTAATAGCTAGATAGTCATTCATAGGTTTATCTACAATCTTTTTAATTATAGGTTCAGTTGTAGCTAGGATTTGGGCGCGCAAGAGTTTTAACATGTAACCTAGTGTTTAGGGTTTGCATGTGGATAATCATATCTTATAATTTTTGGATGGGTTCTTTATCATATCATGCAACCTCTTCTACCTTTTCTACCCTTATAAACAAAATTTTCACTTGAATTTTTTTTTTTGAAAAATAAAAAATCAATTTCATTATAGTCACCACATATTAGTAGAATTGGTTATAAGAAACAACTTTCTAATAAAAAATTTTATGAAAATCAACAAGAAAATAGCACTACGATAAAAGTGTGGTTGCAATCTAAAAAATAAAAGCAGTTAGAAAACTACACCAAATAATACCTCAAACTCGTTTATACCCCTAATAGGCTAATTATCTATTTGTGTTATAATTTGAGTTTGTTACATTCCATTAAATAACCTTATTTTTTGTGGGTTTTTTTAGGAGTTCAAAAGAACAAATTTCCTATTAGTACTCCTTGTGATATATTATATGTTCATACAACATATGATAATGTACAATGATTCATGTATGCATAAGAATTAATTATGAACATAATTAGCATATTTGTTGCCCTAATAAGGTATGCTAAGAATGAGATTATTCATTATTATGGAATAATAAATGTTTGAAGTTTGAGCGGTTCTTATTAATTTATTAGAGTTACTGCTACTAAATTCTTTGGCCCCTTAGTAGTGAAACTGCCTGGAAATTAAGCTTCACCTATCGACTTTTGAGATATCAT